TCAAGAGGCAATTTATACCGACATTAGTCTTTTAAGCTATTCATTTACTCTACTTAGATTTACGTTAAAATATTCCTGTCAGATGGGAAGTACCATTTATCTAATCCAGTTTGCTATGAAAATACACTTAGGTGATTTGGGGAGTCTTCAACTACCTAATTGTATAAGAGAATAATTTATATCTCACAGTCAGCAACTTGTGATGGTGATTATTACTCAATTTTCAATGAAAGATCACACAATCTACCCACAGCACCACACACCTTGAACCATCTCTATACTAAAATTGTTAAATGAGTAGTAGTTTGTGAAATAAAGATCAATATGCTGTGACAAAGTATTTTCATAATCATAAGAGTGAATGTGTCATTGGTTTCAGCTGGAAAAAAAGGAAAATTTAACACTCCAAGGCCATTCCAGCTTTTAGATTACTTCTGGCAAGGTTTCAAAAATCCATAACATTTAAATAAAGACAGCATTTCTTCAGATCACAAAAGCTAACTACTTACTGGTTTATTAGTCATATATCAGCCAGCATATCTTGATAATCTCTGCTGAAAGGCTGTTCAGAAAGTAATACTTAATTCTAAGAGTCTTTTGGTGGCTTTTGGAATGTAGAGCAAACACCATGTAAAGAAGAGGGCCATTTTTCAAGATGAGCTTCTAAATGAAGCTCATTTGAGGACATACATAGTGAACATAAATGGGGTAGGAAAGGCCCTAGAGAGCAATCTGGACAGGCTGGATAGCTGGGCTGAGGCCAATGGGATGGAGTTCAACAGGATCAAGTGCCAGGTCCTGCACTTTGGCCACAACAGCCCCAGGCAATGAGGCAGGCTTGGGACAGAGTGGCTGGAAGACTGTGCAGAGGAAATGGATCTGGGAGTATTGATTGATGCTCAGCTGAACAGTTGCCAGCGGTGTGCCCAGGTGGCCAAGAAAGCCAATGGCATCCTGCTTGGATCAGAAATAGTGTGACCAGCAGGAGCAGGAAGGTGATCACCACCCTGTGCTCACCTCTGGTGAGGCTACACATTGAGTACTGTGTTCATTTTTGGGCCCCTCACTGCAAGAAAGACATTGAGGCCCTGGAGCAGGTTCAGAGAAGGGCAGTGAGGCTGGTGAGAGGTTTGGAGCACAAGTCTTGTTTGGAGCAGCTGAGAAAACTGGAATTGATTAGTGTGGAGAAGAGCATACTTGTGAGGGGCCTTATTGCTCTCTACGACTACTTGAAGAGAGGTTGTAGTGAGGTGAGGGTCAGCCTCTTCTCCATGTAACTAGCAGTAGGACTAGAGGAAATGGCCTCAGGTTGCACCAGGGGAGATTAAGGTTGGCCATTAGGAAATACTTCTCTGAGAGAGTGGTCAGGCTGCCCTGGGAGGTGTGGAGTCACCAGCCCTGGAGATATTCAAGAAATGTTTAGGTGTTGTACTGAGTGACATGGTTTAGTGGGAAATATTGGTGATTGGTGGACAATTGGACTGGATGATCTTTTCCAGTCTTGATGATTCTATGATTCTAACTAACCCAGGATTTGGGTTGAAATCCTTGCCTCCTGAAAGCTAATTACAAAATTCCTACTAACTTTGGCTTAGCCAGATTGTCAGCTAACACTGACAGACTAACCAAAAATGCTTGTGAATTGATCTTTCAGAATTAAATTTTGAGAATACCGTATGGTGTTAAAAAAAGATAGACTTTGCTATTTGATTATTATACATTCTCTCAGGTATTTGAATCTGTTCATTTTCTTTGAATGAAATAATTTACTTGCAAATAACACAGATTATAGTAATAGGTACTGTCATTAAAATATAATAGTTTTTTTTGTTGCTGTTAGAAAAATTCTCCAGTGGTGGTTAACCCTTGAAAATATGGGAATGACAAATCACTTGCACATTCAAAAACAAGATGAGGTACTTATTCATAGAACAGGTGTTCAAGCCGTGGGTTTCACATGGGTTTGAAAAGCTGCTAGAAAAAAATCATGCAATAAAAATGCATCAAGAATATTTACATACACACATGCATGTCTGGTTTAGGAAATCCATGAATGTACAGAGAATATATCAAGGGAAAATAAATCAAGGGAATATCACTGGATATTCCCCTTTCTTCCATACATACCCAACTGATGGCTGCTGTCAGAGGTAAGAGGATGAACTGGCCTGGGATGGTTAAACTGTTCATAGAATCATTGAATCCTGAGAGTTGAAAGGGACCTCAGAAGGCCATCTAGCCCAATTCCCCTGCAATGAACAGGGACGCCACGGCTAGAAGTCCAGAACATATCCTCTGTGCAGATTCATATACCTTCTTACAGGGTTTCTGCTTGCCTGAAAAGCATCAGTATACAATTAGGGATGTACAGGTAAAAACAAGACAAGCGTGCATCATCATTCGTCATCTCCAATGTCTTTTGTGTAAGAATATACCAGTGGATAAGTTTGGTGGTATTATTCAATCACAAAACTCATCAGGTTCTTAAGCCTTGCTTAGAATTTCATGGAGGGCTTCACTTTACTTATCTATAACCATGAATATAGATATTCTCTAGAATGCCTATCTTGCTCTGATACTGATGGAGGATGCTTAAATAATTTATCAGATAATGAAGGTACATACAATACAAATCAAAGAATAATGATTTCGACCACGGTGTGAGTCTGTCCTGAAGTAATTAAACCTAGTATTCCTTTTGACTAGAATATATGTTGTAGAAAGTTACGTAGTCTTGATTTTCAAGAGAGAGAAACTGTCTCATAACCCATAGTTCAGTTATCTCAATAGCTTGTCAGCTTTATTAAAAAAATAAACCTAATTTAAGATGTAAATTTTTCTAGCTTTGGTTTCCAACTGGTGTCTACCATCATGTCTTTCCTTATTCCTTTAAAAGATATTTACTATCTGAAATATTTTCCCTGGAGAGATACCCATGGTCTTGATTTGATAGAATCAGTTCACTAATCTTTTTTTGAACTGAGTGTTTAATGTCTCGTTATAAGGCATTGTTTCCAGAATGTAATTTACAGCAGTTATTTTCTCAGTTCTTTTTAGTTGCTCAGGATCATTCTTGAAGTGTGGGCAGCAGAAACTAGACACAATATTTCCTCAGAATTTTCCTAATGCTGTATTCTGAAATAAAATCAGTTGTATTTGTTTTAGATATTATCCTGCTTACACATTCAAGGATCATATTTCCCCTCTTATGTAAAGCATCACAGTAGGAAGTAATCTTCATTTGATTACTTTTTATGACTCCTCAGCCCTTTTCAGTTACTGCTTTCCAAGACAGCATCTCCATTTTGTAATTACGACCTGCATTTGTCCCTTGCTGGTGAGTGTTTGTGTTTGTTGGTATTACAGCATACGATATTTGAAAGGATCCACTATCAGTTGTCGTGCTGTCCAGCAAGACACATAGGTGATCATCATCCCAAACCTGTCATTACCTGAAAAGCAGCAGAATATGAATATGATTTAGTCTTGATTGAGAGCCAACAATAAACTGAAAGAATTACTTTCATTTACATATTTCCACAATGATTGTGTGCCATTTCTTAGGTTTATGGACCTGTAGGGTTCACTATTGCACCATGAGGTCTGAAGTTCATCTGACCAAGTTCAGAGAATGTTTCATGTCACAAGAAGTTCGTTTCTAGCATATGTTTAAGCATATGTGCATAGAATTGTACATCCCGTCTCTTTGTGTGAGGCTTTCTTTAATATTGAGATGCTGTGCTACCTCTGCAGGATCTAGAATCCCTTTGAAATTTCCAGGGCATTCAAAGGCTGTTTAGCAGAGGCTACTGCTAAACAGCATGGATTATTTTGAAGTTTTCCTTTTAATCTATGTAGAATATGCATCATGTTTTGTATGCTGCAGGATAGTAGGTATACTGCAGTTGAAGACTAATTGTGATGGCAAAGTTTGCAGAACTATAATACCATCAATTTTTGTGTCATCTGCAAATTTTATCAGTAATAATTAAAAATGTTATTCCAGATCAATAATGGAATGCTGGACTGCATACTGTTATAAACAAAATATTTTCTGAGACGATGAGCAGATTTTGAACTCCAAGATTTCATCAGCTTTTAAATTGTTTAATGTTAACTTCTGTATAATTCTGAGTTTCTAGTAAGAAAGGTAGACAGAACTAAGATAAATACTTTACAGAAGACTATTCTGTCAGCCTAGTCTGTCACTACATCAAATTTTGTAAACTGTGTTTGACAAAACCTGGACCTGTGTGTTAATGACATTAACTGAATCAGTTTATATCATGGGGATAAAAATAGGAAAAGTTGTTTTTCTTTTCAGAGGTGTTTCTTTGAGCATTAGAATATGCACTTCAGCATATACTCATAGCTGCAGGATATGGTTTGGTAGCTTGTGGTAGCAGTGGTAGTGTGAAGATGGTTGGACTAGATGATCTTATAGGTTGTTTCCAACCTTGTGATTCTATGATTCTGTGATGTGCAAAAAACCATTTTTTTCTTACAGCTACAACTATTAGGCTTGTTAACGCAATCTTTCTTTCAAAATAAGCTGCTTGAGGTATGCAAAAGTTTATAGGACAATTTGGGGAAATTTAAATGTAAGCTTATGATTCTTATACCTAGAAGTCTTGGATTTTATGCTGTGTTGTGGAACTCTGAGGATCTCCACCCCAGATAACTGAATTTGGGGAACTAGGGAGGATGTAGAAGAGCTAAATTTGAGCTAAAAGTGCTAAATTTGTAGAATTCACATTGTCATCTTGTAATTCACTTCTGCTTCCTCTTGAATAAACAGAATGATACTTCTTTTTAAAAATCTTTCGACTCCTCAAATGAGATATGCTATGCAAATGTGTATTCCAGTTCATTGCATAGAATTCACATGTGTAGGAGTTGAGCTCTTCAAAACAATGTTGGTGTTGAATGCCTACAATAAGTATGTCTGTTTCACGTAATGTCTTTTGGGTTTTAAAAACCAGATCTCTTTTCTCTTATAGAGAGGTTGATCAGGATTCTGATGGGCGCATCAGCTTCAAAGAGTTTGAATGTGCAATGAAGCACGGACAAGATGAAGTATCACCATTGTACTTCGCCTGAAGAATGCTCTCTGGTGAAAAGACAAAGTGAAAACTTCAGATCTCAAGTTATTTAAAAATCAATGAAACTTCATTTGTTTCAGCCAGCATTTTAAGAACTTTGACTTTAAGTGTAGCTCTGAAGAACAGCCTTTGAAGCTTTACTGTTGACAAGTTGGGTGTATTAATTTATATGTGTATGTGTGCATAGAATACTTAAAATATTTGAAAACTCTGTTGATTCCCAGTCACCCTCGTTAGGAAACGCAACTCTGTACTTTTTGGCTTAGATAGAAAAGAACTGACTCTGATATCCAGTTATTGTGAAATGTACTCATTTGATTTTTCAACAGCCTTTTGTTGGCTGACCAAAATATCTCACATATGTAGAAACTAATTAAAATTATGGTGGATAATGCTTGTTTCTTAGAAATTAATAGTATATTTGTCTTTCCTTTATTGTTTCACTTTCATATAGTGTTCTTTTTTATATTGCAAATTATTTTTAATTTAAGTTTTTAGTTAATTAGCTACCAGATTTAATTCTGAACAATTGAGAACTGTGTATATATAGTAAAAAAAAAAAAAAAAGAAGAAGAAGATAAAATGAACGTGAATAATTAGTTATTTCCTTTTGAACAATTTTCTAAATTGAGTTAAGAATAAAACTTGGTCTGCTTCATGAACTTCAGTCTGGCAGACTGAAAATACTATTCAAGCCTACAGCTGACTTTTAGTGAAGAATTTGTATGTATGTGCTTTAGCAGCATCAGAGAATTTTCCAATTGTTGAGAAGAAGAAAAAGGTAGCATTTATCACTGTGGACACATCTACCTTTCCCTCTCTTTCCTTTCCTTCCTTCTTCCCTCCCTCCCCATCTCTTTCACTGGGTTACTGCTTATGGAGATGTTCTTGCCTCCGGTAACTTTATATACACTTATCCAAGTAGTGCTGTAGTGAGATAAATCCTCTTATTCAATATATTTTATCAGTGATCCCTTATTTTCTATTGCCTTTGTGTGTTCATATGAGTAGTAATAGATGATAGAAATTTCATTATGGGCATTGATCTCTGATCATTTTTCATTCTGTTGCTCCATTTCTGTTTTCTTGCCAATTGTTAAGTTGCTTGAATTAGAGATTCCTTCTGAATTTGTGCAGAAGCAATGCCCTCCTCATGTGAACTTACAGACTGTAGCACACACGTAATACTACTGTAAATAACTAAACCAATAATAACGATCAGTAAGATGAAAAGAGTATCATATCAGTTCTACTGTTGAGTCAAAAGAGAAACGTCTTCCTAACTTTAGTGAGCTATTCCAAAATATAATGTATGAGCACATTTTTTATAAAATAACTTCTGTGTTTTCTGTTCCAATTTCATACATGTACCTTACTAGACACACAAAAAGTAAAATCTTCTTTACTTCCAAGGCAGATAGTACATAAATAATAGAATGAAATTGGAGGCACTGAATATGTGAGCAGATATAGCTGATTCTGTGTTCAAGAACCAGGTATCCATTAGATGAAATGAGCTGTAACACAAATAGCATGCTAATCAGTGCAAGAGAAATGGTGTTACCTTTGAAAGGTGATGGAAAGACCTACTAATAGATAGATGGTTAGCCTTAGAAATGGTATTTCCCAATAGATGAATGTTTTCATAAGAGAGTCATCATCATAGATGTTAATTAGCAATATCATCACAGTCTCTGCTGAGACACAGAAGATTGAATTACTGTCCCACAGGGAGAGATGCTACAGGTCTAGACACATTCTTGAAAAAAATGTCTGATGGGTTGCTGTGCTATTACTTACACCACATTTTTTTGGTCAATGTACTTCAGTCTACTGACTCAGGTGTCCGGTCGTTACACCTGTCCCAAACACTAATTCCATGCAGTATTATTTTATTTATTTCAAACTATTTATTAAGGAGCAACTGATGTGAAGTTTCTATCTTACAGAAATCTCATTTTCAGTACTAGCTTCCATTTAGCCATTAAAAAGTCTATGATGTCTTGTTAGTATTTCTAACCTGACTGTGGTTTTCTGTCTAAATATCTGACAATATCTGCACTTTATAGACTCTGTAGAACAGTAACCTTCTGTTGAAGATTATTACAGACGGAAAGGTCTCTATGCTTTTCCTTCTAAGAAATATATATCTTGTATTTGTAGCAAGGAACTTCAGAGAGGAAAGTGCCCTCTATTTGCTTTACTTCTATACACTCTCATTCCTTGTTTTCTCAGAGACTTTAAAAGTATGAACTTGAATTATTGAGAATAGAAAATCCAGGGGAAGCCAGTGAAATTATTTTACCATGTTGCAAAGGTTTGTTGTTGTTGTTTTTTAAACATGATTTTTTAGAGAAGTTCTGTTCTTAAGCATTCTTGTTTCCCCTCCCATGAGGACTTGTGGAAAGAAATTGTAGATGACCACAGCTGAGTGGAACTGAGTAGGCTCAGGTGATGCAGTCCCTGCTCTGCAGCTGAATAAAAGCTAATTACTAGCTAACTTTTATCAGAGTTTGATTAGCAAACTGCAGAAAACTTCAGCTATCATTGCAAATTAATAAAATTAGGAATGACATTTTGTGGGGTGGGTGAAATGGGAGATTATTCTCACTAATGATTTGGGAAACAAAAACAGCAGCTACCCAAGGACTAGATGAAAGATGCTTTTCATTTTTGTGTATGTTCTGTTGCTGATGTAACAGCTTCCTTTTTGGTCAACAGGAAAGGAGTGGCAGAGCTGTGATCAACATAGCTCACCAGCTGTAATACTAGGGTTCCTTAAAAGGGAATATACACTCACCAACAGGTTACATTCTTACTTGTAATACTTCCTAGCAACAATAATAGGAGCTCAGGAGGAAAAAAAAAAAAGTTTGATGACAACCATCTTTGGCAGAATCTTGGGAGCCAAAATGGGTCTGAACCCCAACAAATGGAAGGCTGAACATAAGAGCAAGTAATTACTGATACGTCCTGTGTAACAGCACAGAGGTGAGTCTTCAGGTTTTACTGTTACACTGATTTATTCAGGTTTAAGAGCACATCTGCTTTCCCGTTGTGTCAATTTTTTTGTCTTGTTTTCTGATGCCTGTTACTTAACAAGCTGCATTTGCTTGTTAAGAAATACCTGTGAAAAGCATATTTACATTTGAGTTTTCAAATGAGTGATAATCTGCTCAAATTATTTTCATGTGGATACTTTGTATGCTTAGCTTATTGCAGCCACTTTAAAGCAAATAGATTATATAACCATGCTTTCAAAATGTATTTGCTTTGTTCTCCTGGAACTTCTGTAATTCACTAAAGCTCTTGGAATCTAGTTATGTGTTATTTCCTTTTAAACGACTTGAATGATTTCACTGATGGAATGAGCAGTTGTTAAACTGTGTTCTTTGGGCAACCTGATATCCCTGGTAGCTTTCACAGTGTTGGTATAGTGAAATGCAGGACAGCTTTGAATGAAAAAGGGTTCAAAGGACTCAGCCCAATATCAAGACTTTCCTCACTGGAATGTTTTGTTTCCTTTTCTTCCTGGTGTATCAGAAAATGAATATTTCATCCATATACTCAGTAATAAGAAGAATCTAAAGTAAATACATGCACCACATCATAGAATGTTCAGTGTGTCCCTATGAGGTTCCCAAAATAAAACTTAGTACCTTAGCTTTGTGACAGTGTTACTGTGTCTTCTATCTTTAATCAGCTGGGTGGGTGGTGGCTGATAAGTCATACTGAGTAACTAACTGACACACAAAATGTCACAGTTCAAAGAAAAGCTTTGGCATGACTCTCATTTACTATCACATCAGTTTTACACTCTCTGGCAGTGAAATACCGTCTTAAAATTAGTATGAATTATAACTGTGTTCCTGCTTTGAGTACTTAACACTGTTCTTTGAATGGAGAGCTACCCTAGTGGAAAAAAAGAGACTTGTTTTTATAACTTTTCGTGTACTGATTGCCAGTAACAATATGAGAAAATACAGTGCACCATTTTATGGCAATAAATGTGAGAAAACAAATTATTTTAATCATAGCTCTTTAAAGACACATATCTGAGTCTCTTTCTGGCAAGAAATTTAAAATTAGTGATGAATTTTGAAAAAGCCCATATAGGTTGCACAAGTATTAACATTTTGGCTCAACGCATCGTGTAGTTCTGAAGTGAATCCCTTGATCTTCTCCACTTCCTGTGTATTGGTCCAGTTTGCTGAGCCTTTCTGGTGTTGTAGGAGTAGGAGGTGAGGTCTAGCAGACAAGGGTTGTGAGGCTCCATGGGAAGATAGGCCCTTTTCAACATGGCAAAGAGATGCCAAAACATCTTGCGTTCTCCATGTCTGATTTTTTTTTTTACTTTTATTTTTATTTTGAAATAAAAGTCAATGCTACTGCCATCACGGTGTCCTCTTGGTGCTGTTTTCAATGGTTCCAGTCCTTCTTCTGTCCAAGCCATGAACTTTTGGATGTAGATCAAACTCAGTTTGGGGTCAGTTTAGCAACCAGCATCATGGTGCCAGATAGAAATGTGCAGAATCAGAAATAAAACTTCTTTTTAATGCGAGTTGTTATAGAGGCAAAGCAGTGACGTGCTGCTGTCTTCTGACTGGGACAGACAGAAGGATGGCACGGGATTCCCCAGGGCAAACGGATCTCTGGACAAGGAAGAATGGTTCTGTGGCAGTTTCTATTCAACAACTTTGAATGAAATGTATGCTGAGAATACCTCATCTAGTGAGTCAGACTGATTCCAGTTCATAGAAAACCCTGCAAATTTCTTTTTGTACAAGTCTCAACACCAGTGCCATCAAAATACTAAACAGCTGCTTTGTCACTGAGGTTTTTGCTATGTGGGGTTAACCAGAAAGGGTTTGGTCTTTAGAATTCTTTGTTATTTGTGCTGCAGTGAGAATCTCAGTCTCAGTTAGATGAAATCTCACTGACAGTAAGAATATTATGCACTGCAAAATGTCAAGTTTGTGTTTAGTTACCTAATTCTGTTAGAGACATTCCAAGTTAAAATGATTTAATGTGTAAGGTGATTGTATAAAAAAATAATAATAATAAAAACTATTGACTTTACTAAATACAAGAAAGCTTTAAAGAGCATAGATAAATCTGCCTTACTTTGAAAAGTAAGTCACCTAGAACTGTACCTCTTGGGTTGAGCTCAGACTCTTTTCTGAGCCCAGACTCTTTTCTGCAGTTCGTGGAGACAGGACAAGGGGAAACAGCCAGAAACTGCAGGATAGGAAGTTCTGCACAAATGTGTGCAAGAGCTTCTTTACGCTGAGGGTGACGGAGCACTGGAACAGGCTGCCCAGGGAGGTTGTGGAGTCTCCTTCTCTGGAGATATTCAAGACCTGCCTGGACACCTACCTGTGTGACCTGGTGTAGGGATCCTGCTTTGGCAGGGGGGTTGGACTCAGTGATCTCTGGAGGTCCCTTCCAACCCCTACGATTCTGTGAGCTGCCTCATTAGGAGGCCTAAGGTAAGTGCACTGAGAAAACCTCGGTAGCTGCAGAACATTTATGCTAGAGAAGAAAGAACTTTGAAATACTTAGTCTTTCTTGGAGTAGAAGGCTGTGATAGTTGTTAAATAATTGTGAAATATTCAGTGACATATTGAGATGTAACAGATGCTATGGAATCATGTCATAGTCAAACATTGTACTAATTTTGTATGTGCCACATATTTCCTGGCAAAGGACAATTTTGAGAGTTAGTAACATGAAATTCTAGTGTTAAAAGAATACAAATAACACGTCAGTTGAAGTTCTGCTCGCCCACTCTGTTGGGGAAGCAGCGCATGGATACATTTAGCTGTCTCAGAAGGCTGCAGATGGGGAACTTGAAATTCTGTGTTTTGATCGTGTTGTTTAGGAAGAGGCAAGCACTATTCTAGAGCTGATATGGTGTGCCTAAATAGAGCAGCCCTGTAGAAAGACCCCAAGTATTGTAGATTTGTTTATTTATTTATTTAAAGTCCATTTGACCCTTGTCACCACCTGATAAACTAGCAAATGTGTTAGCAGCATGTTTAAAACCATCTTTTCTCTGAGGTACTCCTCATCTGAATTAATTAATTGAGTCGGGGGAGTGGGAGGGAAGGCTTCTATGGTGGTGGGGTTTTTTTGTTTGGGGGTTTGTTTTTGTTTTGTCTTTTCCCATAGTTAGCTTCTGAAAATGGCAAGCATTTAGTGCCCCAAAGTCAGACCTGGGACAACTGCAGAGCAGTGCAGATGATGGTGCATTGAAGCCCCATCTGGACAGAGCCTCAGGATTTCACCACCTAAAGATGGAAAGCAGAATTCTGAAGGTTAAGCTGAGTGCCAGAAGGTTGTATCTGTTGTACAGGATGGACCTGTCTCAAAGCCCAGCCTCAGTTGGCAGTAGTGATGGTTAACCATACAGCAAGAGGCACACAAGGAGTGATGCTTCTCCAGCATGCTGTGTGTCCAGCAATAAGAGGTTTACAACTCACTGCTGTTACATCCTGTATTATACAGGTGATTTCATCTTGAATCACACTTGCTCTTTTCTTTGTATTTCTTCAGTCCTTCCATAATCTTTTTCAGATGATCAGAACTCCACTCGCTACTGAAATTGAGGAAATAACTGTGGCTTTATATAGTGGCATAATGATATTTCCCTTTTTATGTTCTATAGCTTTCATAACAATAACTTGACAATTCAGTAGTGAAATGGAAGTACAGCTAATTCAGAAATGGCATTAGGAATCAGTTAGAGTTCATTTTTTCCATTATCTTCATTCATACATCATGTAACTTTACATCATAAAATATATTTGTAACTTGGAAATAATATATATGTATCAATAACAAATAAAAAGAAAAGTGATATTTTTTGACTTATTTAAGCACCTACATGTGAATAGGAAGATGACTCTTGCAATCTGCAAAACTACTGAGGCAGCTAACTGTTGGCTTCTGAAATCTGTCACTCCTTACAGTGACAGCCTTGCTTCCAGAGCTTGCTGAGAGCATGAGCTGTAGTGCAGAGGTCCTTGGGCTGGTCCTGGACAACTGGTGCATTTGTGCTCTGCAGGGCAATGTTGTGCAGGATGCTGCCTGGGAGTGTGACTCGGGTCCTGAACTCTGCTGTGCTGACACAGTGGTGCTGCTCTGAGGCTGAAGCTGCACTCAGCAATGCTGTGAGAGCCCTCACAGCACCCTCTGCAGCCTTGCCAGGCTGTTTTGATGCAGGGCCACAACCTGGGTGTATTGTGATCAGGCAGAGACTGCTTCTTGGAGAGATTTTTCTCCATTCATGGCAACCCATGAGAACAGCTGTAGGTTTCTAAACTTAGCAAATCACCTAAATTTAGTGGAGCTTAAGAAAAGTGAGTCATACGGATTTATTAAAAAAAAATAAATCATTTAATACTGAAACGTATTAGGTGCTGGTTCTCCACTGCAGTGATTCACTGTTGCAGTTTGCTGTGGCAGTTCTCTAGCTACAGTATGAAACTAAAAAAAAACAAAACCTAAGTAGGGTGAACATAGACCAAGGGACATAAAGAAATCAGGCAGCTTAGTCCCGCTGGATAAGAAATGCTCTGTAGGGTCAGGTCCAAGGCCCATCTGGTTCTGTAGCCTGTTTCCAACTATGCCAATGGGGTAGAGCACTCAGTTGAGGACGTTGCCCTGCTCAGTGCCCTCACACTGCCCCAGCATCCAGGGGCAATGGGTGGAGAAGGCTGGAGGGCACACTGGCTGTCTCAGAGACAGCTACTTTTACAGGATCTGCTAAAACAGATAAATGCTAGAAGGAATTGGACCCTTCCAGTCGTTGTTGAAGAAACAAAATTTAGGCTGTCATAATAGTCAGTAGTGTATGTAGTAGTGTGCGTATGATCTTCTATATAGATTTGCTGTTCTCGTACAGCTCTCTTAGCTAGGAAGTGTGCAAATGAGATTAGATCTTAACTGCTAATTAATAGTGTGCCACAATCTTATGCTGAGAGAGGAAATTCCTCAGTGGCAACTTCGTTCTCACTTACTCCTGCTGGCTTTTAAATGACTTCTCTAGCACTTCCAGTAGAGCTTTAGCTCTTGTCCAGGACTGTGTCATCAAAGTTGGAAAGATCCAAGGATGTACTTGCATGTAGAAGAAGGGATGAACAAATCTTTTGGTTAGTTTTTACTTCAAAACCTCTATTTATTTAGGTTGAAAAAATATATTTTTTTCTCCCTGTATGTCACAAAGATGTGCCTGATGGTTTGTATATTGCATCGAGTGTCTGAATGTGGTTTAAAAAAAATGACTAACTAATGAACTAGCACAGTCATTAAAGAATAAGATATTAATGAAGAAAGATCACAGAACTAGTTTTCCAGAAAATAGAAGTGCAGAATGCAGAAAATGATTGAACACATATATTCAGTAAAGATTTCTCATAAATGAGCTTTTTGAGGCACTTGAATCCCTTTAGAACACGTTGTGTTGCTTTTATAAAGTAATTTCAAAATCCAAATGTTGTTTAATACCGAGTCCAGTGCCTCACAGAGGCTGTCATATCAGAACTGCATTGACATATGGACTTGTAATTTCATATGAAAATTATATCAAGTTTATTTAACATGACCTGATTTTTAAAAATGTGTTGATTGACACATACAGTGCCATCCTTTGATTCCTTATTGCCTGAGTATTGTATTATCTCTCACACAGTCTGTAGTTGTTATTTATATTTAAGCCTTTTATGTCATTCTCACACTGCAAAGGCATTTTAGGAGGAGTGTAAATGTAATTTATACTGTTTTGAACATCCGTTTATATTTCTCAAATGGTGTAAAGATGAGTAAATGAAGATCACAGGCATGGTTATTTTTCTGTGACTTTGTCTGTGTTTAAAGCTGTGGACTTCTCTGAGAGCCTCCACAGAGTATCTTGGATTCCAGGAAGTATTACTTCTTCCAAAGTGGGTGACAATAATTGGAGTGCCTATCTTCCATCTCTCGCTATATAGGTTTTCTTCACTCTTTCTATTACACAATGGTTGGAGATGTGACATCCTGTTATGACATTAAAAAGTTGAGATTTCTAGGAGATAAAATCTCTGTTAATACAATGTCCCTTTGAATGTATTTCCCTGGGAAGTCTACCTAAAATTCTCCTGAAGGAGAATCTGAAGCCAAGTTAAGCAGATTGTATTTTGATTTTTTTTTTTTTTTTCCAGAGACTGTATCTTCCTGCTGTAAATGAGCAACTTCAAATTCCTCCCCACTTCCTTTTCAATTTACTTTGCAACAGCATGAATTTAGTTTAACAAAATTTAGACTTCCGTTAATGAAGTTGTTATACACAAAAAAGAGAGCTTACCATCTTTAAGCAGTCTTGCTGACTAGCAGAAGTGCTGATGGGGACTTAGAAAGGGCACTGTTTTGAACAACAGAACTGGAACAGGACCAGAAGCAAATGAAGCCAAGACTGCAGTGCTCTGTCAGACTGACCACAGCATGTGAGTAGGACTGAGCAAACCTTGGAAAATGACGCTAAAAATGCATTTAAATAATTGGGGGAAATACACAAACAAATGGAAGTACAGTTTTCATACAAAATGAGTTAAATTAGTATTTCATTAATACATTTTTATTCCATAGGTGTGGTTGTAATAGAATCATTTGACTTGGGAGGGACCCTTAAATGTCATCTGATCCAACTCCCCTGCGATGCACAGGGACACCTACAGCTCCATCAGGTTGCTCAAAGCCCCATCCAGCCCGACCTTGACTGTTTCCAGGGATGGGGCACCATTATTTCTCTGGGCAACCTGTTCCAGTGCTTTACTGTCCTCATTATAAAAAACAAACAAAAAATACCAACAACAAAACTTCTTCCTCATATCCAGTCTTACTCTCCCCTGCTTTAATTTGAAGCCATTTCCCCTTGTTCTATCACTGCCGTGCCTAAGGCCTTACTGAAGTCCAGGTAGATAACACTGTATGGTGTATGGTTTTTGTAATCCATTTCACATGATTCAAAGACAATGTGAACATGAGGGGATCAGTGAAGGGATTTTTCAGAAGTGTCTCTGAAAATAAGCAGCATGCTTCACTGAGGTTACATTCCACGTGTTGCTGAATACCTTGGGGCTTGGCACAGTACATACAGCGATGCAATGGGATAATTCATGTCAGTGAAAGGTAGCTAAAGCTAAGCTGCTTTCAATATCAGAGCTAGTTCATCTATTTCTGACTGTGGAGGTCTCTGTGTTGTGCTCTACTGCAGAGAAATACCCTGCACGTTTTTAATATCTCACCTGTAGCCAGTGGAATCAGAGGTGTCAGCAAAGCTTTTATTTTGTCCACGTAATCTTGAATTCTGATGATAGAGCATGAAAACAGTAATCTAATTACATTTCTTGGAAGTTTTGCAGCTACACAAAACATTTTTTTTACTTCAAAATATATTTGATCAAAAAATCATTGGTGCCCAATAAACAAGAAACTGCAATATCATTTTATAGTCACTTTTCAGAGCATAACAGTTAATCTAACTCTATAGTTATGCTGGTACTGTATAATATAAAATGTGTTTTATTCACTTTACTGAAAGATAGGGGTAGGGTTATCTTCAACTTTGTATTTTTATGATTTTTAAGGCATCTGTGCTGTAAACTGCATGCAATTCACTATAAAAGCTTTTATTTCCTTTCAATTCTCATGGTCACCACTTCAAGAATAGTTACTGCAGCAGCATTTATCCTTGCACGGGATTCCATTATCAAAGTACTCCACAAACACATCTGTAAGGAGTCTCTACCTCTAAGAAACATTCACATATTCAATCCATCCTTCTTCCTGCTGAGATAACCTCCTACTCCACTGTTTTCTGACCAGTTTTACTTATCTCCAGTTATTTGAATGCTGCACTTTTTGCATATTTTGCAAAACCCCTTCCTGAATTAATCAACAGAGAATCCAAATATTTCAACTCTGTGAAGTGGTCTCTGGTATTACCAGGGAAATCACATGGGCAACAGCGGGTTGGCAAGCTATGTTTGATGTTTCACCTCCTTGTGCCAGTTAATATATGCGCATAATTGCTCAAGAGCCGTCTGGTTGCAACCTAAGATGTGTTGCTCCTTGATAATGAAAGCACTGATTTGGTCCCACGCATGAACTAGAAGTGTTTAATGTGAGTCTGCCTGTGGGATTCTGATAGAAAAAAAAGAGCAGTGCCCCATCAAAACCTTTTAAGAAATGTGCATGTAATAATAATCTCTCCAGATTGAATGCAAATCTAATTGGAAGATGCCTGATTTTTTGGGGGCCTACAAAATTTAATGTTTGTTATGATGTGAAGTGGCAGCATTAAACCTTCTCTCCATTCAACATACCCCACAAGGGCTTTCCTGGCACTGGTGAAACAACAGGGAGCAGCTGGGTCCAGAGGTGGCTGCAGCTCCAGCCAATTTCTGTGGCCCTTGACCTCACCCCCCCCAACAGTGAGTGGTGTCTGAGACATCTTTAGCTTGCTTTAAAAGTCAGGGTAGGCAGAAAATCACCACGGAGCTTTCTGTCCTCCAGCAAAGCTGAGCAATATGGTAGAATTAGGTTTTCTAACAAGGAAGCTCTTTTAGGCTGTTATGTTACTTTTCTTGTGTCTATTCCTTCCCAGGCTTGAATATACATGCTCTGAAAAGTGGTAATTGGGCATTTATCAATACATTTGATTGCAAACACTGCCTGAAGATGGAGATCCTTCAGCAAGAGTCCCAAGAACTGTGAGTATTGTGGACGACTTGATTTTTGCAGAACAACTGAATAGTAAGCTGGGATTGTTCAAAGAGGAATGAAAACTGAGGAAGAATGCAATAACAATGTTCAAGTGAACACAGGAATTGCAGATATTAACACTGTTCTTCCCATCCACTGGAAGTACAAAAACTAACATGATAGAACTATAGCAAGTGAGGTTTACTTTAAAGCAGAAAAAACTCTTCAGTAATCAGAGAGTGACTGTCAGGGATCTGTTGTCTGAAGCTGTGGTCAAATGCCCATAAAGAGGCGGTGTCTAAGAGCAGGCTGAATATATACCTGCAAGGATGAGCTTAGGTATAGTCAGGGCAGCTATGGGGCAGGGAGACAAGACAGCAACCTCTGAGACCTGTTTGGCCCCTGTGCAGTTCTCTGTATCCTAGGTGAAGACTTTTTCTCTCGTGCATCTATACCACCATCTGTGCATATCTTCTCATTCAACTGAGCCACGTCCTTAGCAGCTCTTCCTGATGATCTGTGGTTGAGATGAGAAAATGGTGAGGCATTATATATTTGCAGTTTTAAAATGAATTTTAAAAAATTTGCTTGCTTACCTGATATCTTCCATTTTAAACATGGATGATTGTAATTCCTAATGGGAGCAAAATTGATAAGGGAGGTGACCAGAAGCTTATTATTAATTTGCAGCTTTTATCTTTGGGAAATCAACATTCTGGCAAAGAATTTAATTGGGCTTTTTTGTTAATTCTCACAGTGATGCTTTGTTTTTTCCTTTTGGGACTGCAGAGAAAAAACAGCATCTGGTGTTTGAGGATGCTGGGGATTTACACCATATTATGTGTAATATCTCTACTGTAAATAAACAAAATGAATAATTAAGTGAATAACGAGGTGTCCTGAATTATGACTTCTCTGGCTGCATCTATGGAAAATCAAAGGTATGTTTGTTCTTCTGTAGTTTTGTGCTTTGGAGGGCATCTTGGTCTTGTCATTGCCCATATGGATATTAGCAATATATCTTTTCAAGCAGAAGCCTGAAATAATATTGATGAAAGCTGCTTGGTAAAATGGAGGAATTTTTGCTCTTCAGTGTAGCGTCTGTCTGAGTTATAAACTGTAAAACAGAAGAATATTAGAAACTGTGTCATAACCCTGAGGGCCTTACTGCTTCTGCCCAGCCTCTCCTGACCTGCTCACGGCTCAGGACCCCGCTCAGCCCAGGGCCATTGGCTGCTGCCTCAGTGAGGCCCCAGCAGGACTGGGCTCCAGCTCCACACAGCTCAGCCCAGTCAGCCACGGGCCCTGCCAAACCAGGCCTAACAGTGGCCATGGCTTAGCCTGGCCCCCGTCTCTTGGCTCCTGTCTCCCTACAGAAAGCCTTTGTGGTCTGTGAGCTGCTGGCCCATGCTGCCTTGTTGGATTGGATGGTTATAGTTTTTTGTTTTCTTTTTTCTTTTTGAATATAAAAAGAATGTATATGATTTACGTTGGAGGTGTTGTAGAGTCTGTCCTGATACAGATACTGGTGACGTAGTGGATGTAGGTGCCACCGTCCGTACTTAATGAGAAGGCCAGCACTCAAACAGAAGTCTCCATGATGGGGCAGGAGGAGCCCCCCCTCCTGTGGATGACTGTTGCATTGGCTTCATGAAGACTGCAGTGGGCAAGGTGCTGCAGGAACACATTCCGTCCCCCAGCCGTCCTTCTGTGGGGACGGCACTGGGGACAGCTGACACTGGGGCCACTTGAAGCTGTGGCTGGAATTAATTTTATCTCAATGCCAGATTTCCACCTTGAGCACAGCTGCGTATAAGTAGAAGGCAAAGTGATTTTTATGCGTATGTGATATGATAATTAAACTTAGCATTTTCTCCGCATTTGCTATTCAGCACTGTAAAAGGAAGCTAAATGAATTGCCAAGGAGATGTAGTGAAAATTAATGATGGGGATAGGACTCAGAAGGGCTGTTGACATCTGGGCTCAATGTTCTGCAGAATATCTAGTCAATGGTTAAAATCTGGTAATCACCTTAGGTGAGCATCCTTGGCTTTCTTCTGATAAACCCCCCTGGCATGTAGCTGAATTTTGTGTCTTTCCTTCCAGGCCGGTCCTCTGCAGGATCATTAAGATTTGATGCAATGACAGTTCTTTATTTTAAAAAGGGGCTTTCTGATGTCCGCTGCAGAACACCATCTTATAGATCAACTTATATTACCAGAAACACGGCAAGAAATCCTTAGACATCACAACTATACAAAACATGATTTGTCCAATGTTAAACCACCAGCAAAGGACAAACTATTTTTAGAGCTGTCATATGGTACCGCACCTGAGCTTTATTTGTCTTCTGATTAAAAGAAGTTTTCCTTCAGAAAAGTTCACTTGAATCTTATACTCATTTAGTAAGTCTTACGTTCCAATTCAATTTATTTTAAAGCAGATTCTTTGGGGAAAATTATAAAGCTAATTTGAATTGATTCTTTGGAGATTCAGGTTTAAATGAAGTGCCATAAAATTGGCAGTCAAAGGGAAAAAATAGAATTGGATGTTATACTTGTATTACTCAATGGACACGAGCGCCTTGCTTTTTGCTACTGCTGAGGGTTTTGATGTCGTGTTTTTCAGACAGTTTATAAACACATAAGAATTAAAGTTCACACCGTGTTCCTCATTCATGTGTATTATATCACATTATAAACTTTTGGCTGCCAAGATCATAAAGTTAGTCATTCACTGTTTCCGTTTTTTCATAATAAATTCTATAAACTCTCAATGGTATTAATGCTAATTTTGGGGAAGTGAAACAAAGTCCTGTATTTGTTACGTGTTGAGAGGATGGTACATCAGAGTAATACTTCTCACTAGCAATATCGTCCTTCTCCATTTTCAAATGTACAGGGTAGCATTTGGTAAAAATACTGAGCTGTTTTGGGTGTCGAGCAGTTTAGAAATGTCTGAAGTTTGGGTGGCAAACGTGCGGCTTTTTCTGAAGCCAGTGTCTTTTTGAGGCCTTATGATCTTGTATTACCAAGCACCTGGTTTCTCACTGACAAATGAGTCAAAATTTGTTCTTACAGGCTTTCTGGAAACAGGTTAAATCCGATTTCTTGTTTTGTTTTTGTTTTCCATAAAGCCTGTAGATACACCTTAAAAATAGGGCTTTTTTCTTAGCAGAACTCATGTTTTTCTGTTACTATTTGATGCATTCATAGCTTGGGAAATTCACAGAAATAATGGCCAAGGAGCTGGTTGTTCAATTTCCTCTCACAAAAATTACTGGGTAGATGTTCATTACTCCATCCCAGCACTGTGCTTCCAACCTAATCAGAAGCAGAAGTGAGGATATGAAAAGACGTGCTAGAGAAAGCTCCAGTGCACTCCATTATGCATTCTGCACACATGGTCCTATATTAGAAATGGCTGGTATTTTGTTTGAGTAAATACATTAGAAGATATTTAAATTAAAATATATGTTGCTTTCTTCCAATTTTCTTAATGTGAAAAGAATTTTACTGAAAGAAGCCTTCAAGCCCACGACTATTTTTTTTTATTATGTTCAGCTTCCCAGGAGCTATTAGTCAGAGTGGAGATACTTGTTTGCTCTGGTCCCATTGTAAGTGTTGGATACCTGAAATCAGACACCAGCAACGGTATTTAAATGTGGAAATGAAAATCCCCCAATCTTTCACACATGCTAAGCTGCTACAACCCTCGGTGATCTCAGTGGGAGCTGTGGCTGCTCAGCACTTTGAAAGTCAGCCTGTTAGAAGGGAGGTGCTTAGAGGAGGAGATAGATGTTGGGCTGCCTCGATAGTGCTCCAACACACCGCAGAACCAGATGGAGGTGAGATGGTGCAATTTTGCTCTTGTTTGCAGCATTGCTGAGCTGATGGAAATCTAAGGGCCACTCCTCCTGTTCATCCCTGGCATTCTGAAAGTAGTTTGGCACCTGCTTTTCACAAATTTATACTATGCCCTTTGTACCTAAAAACACTAAGCAGCATTTGCCAATGTGCTGCCAGCTACAAGCTGCTGGCCTCTGGGCAGAGTGGCACGTGGTGCCGTACCTCATTCATTGGGCTGAATTCTATCCGACTGAATTGATCTCTGGATCCCTGAAATCCTTCTCCATCTGTTGTGATTACAAAGAGAATAGTGCTTTGCTGTGTATGACAAAGAAGATAGAGACCCTTGTCCTGGTTTTATATCAATGAATGGAAACCTGATATTTCCCTTTGTTAAAAATGGAATTGTTCCTGAATGCCACGTGCATTAAGAATATAACAAAGTGAAGAAGAAAAAAATAACAGAAGTGCATTTATACAGCTGTCTCTGTTTTACATTTCTGCTTTTCTCCACCACAAGCCCAACTCTTGTCTCTCCTTGCAAGAGGAGTGAGTGCTTACCCACGAAGGCTGGCAGCTTTAGTTGTTACTCAGTTGTCAGTATCAATGTGCATGATACCTGCTTACCTGGTGAAGCTGTAAGGGACGCTAAGAAGCCCAGCAAGTTTTGGAGGATTATTAAGTCATATGGCCAAATTTTTTGCTCTGAGGAGCAAGCTGATTACCGTTAAGGGCTATAGAAGAATACAAATAGAAGGTATTTCATATTTATTAGAAACAGGCTGTATTACAGCAGGAACTCATTTTAAGCAATATAAATAAATTGAGATTTAAATGTTTTATTTATAATATATATATTTAAATTTCAGTATAGTGTTCCTTCTGCTTAACTGTGACTGAACCTCTTCCCTGATCTGAGTGCTGTCCCTCCAACAGCAGCTCTTGTGTCTCACTTGTCGCAGCATGAAAACTCATGGTTTTCTCAGTTTCTGTCTTCTAAACATTATTTTAAATAGACCCAGCTGTACTTGGGTATTTGTTTGATCTTGTCACCAGCTCTGTTTATTAGCTGATGGAACCAAGCCCTAGGCAGTATGAGCTCAAACAATAAAGGAGCTCACATACCTATTTAGCCTCACCCAATCCTGTGCTTTACTACAAATTAAAATAGATAGGTTTCCTTTGTGAGTTAAGCAGCAGGTGCAATTCACATTCTTTTAGCCAGAATAATCATTCTCTTTAGAAAACTTTTTAAAAATGTTCTTGTAAAAGGTTCAGACTTTTTTGTTCTCATCTCTTTTAGGAACACATGAAGGAGATTCAGGCAGAGGAGGAAAAAAAAACAAGGAAGAAGCTCAGGAGAAACAGGTAAACAGGAAATAGAAAAAAAAAATAAATCAAATCTAACAAGCCTTTTCAGAAGAAGCAGAGCAAGTACATAATGTTTATTTCAAGTTACCTGTAGAAATAGCAACATAAATAAAAATATTCTTAAGCTACCCATAAGCACTTACCTCTGCTGCTAAGGTATTGTACAAGGTGGTAGGTGTTTTAGAGATGCCAATAGACAGACAGGCTTTTGATGATAAATCATTTTGTATGCAAGGCAAGAAACAGCACAGAGAGCATTGCCCTTGATTGAGAACTGGGCTTACACCTCTGGGGCAGAGCAGAGGGGAAGCAGAACATGCTTCACAAGAAAGTGTCCAGATAGGTTTTGAATATCTCCAGAGAAGGAGACACCACAGCCACCTCGGGCAGCCCAGTTCCAGTGTTCTGTCACCCTCAGAGTGAAGAAGATTTTCCTCATGTTTGGATGGAACATCTCCTATGTTCCAGTTGGTGCCCATTGCCCCTTGTCCTGTTGTTGGGCTCCACTGGAAAGAAGCCCATCCATTTGACAACCACACTTTAGATATTCATAAACCTTGTAGGATCCACTCTGTCTTCTCTCCTCCAGGAGATGCCTTCCCCTTAAGTTGCCTGGCCGTTGTACCACGTAATTGAGGGCAGAAGTGGACCACGTTCTCCTTCTGCTTGTGTTTGTCATGTGTAAACTCATGCATAAGCAAGGGATTATCTATAATGATTCTTTGTGCATTTATCTTTTGATAAAAAATGTTGTTACTTTCTTCAGCTCTCATTCCTTTCCACTCCTCAGTCATGCTCACAGTGTCTCTTACTGGCATGTGCTGAAAAGAGTCATTAGCACACACTGAAGGGTATCAAACGGGATGTTTGCAGCTGTCATTTCACTGGATTATCTTTGGCTGTTCCTCCCCTTCAGGCTAATTGTGTCTGTTGTCACTAGGCAGTTAGAGGACTATGCAGCAGGGGCCCAATGAAAGAATCTCCTCATCAGACTGTACGTAGTGGTAGGAAACCTGTGGGAAATTAATGCTAAGGACATGAAAAGAGCAAATAAGCACAGAGAAAGAACAGAACTTTGTTCGCAGCTGAGTGATGTTTGGTAACTCTTACAGAATTTGGCTTTTTGATGAAGCTAATGCTTCTTTCAATTCAATTTCATTAAAAAAAATCTACAAATTCAAAATGATCTGACTGTGTCCCCCGGCCTGCCTCTGGCACGGCAAATATGGCTACAAGCAGCTCCACGTGGGCACAGCACTGCGGCCCACAGGTGGGGACGCCTGAGGCATTTCCTCAGATTCCCACTCAAGTGGCCAGGAGGTCCTTCTGAATGAGAGAAATGCAGTGCCTGTGATCAGACTGTGCTCCTGACAGCATAGGAACATTCTGCGAGAGATTCCCTGCAACTGAAGGCCTGTCAGAAATACAACCAACAGCACACAGCGTGTGTCACAGCTGGAGCCAGTGGGATGCTGGACGCCCTTCAGCCAGTCCTCCTCCTCCACTTCTGTTTCCTCTCAGATGTTTACGGCAGAGGCAAGGGTGTGTAAATAACCACCTGCCCCAAGGAATGTGTATGGGATGTTACACTCAAGGAGTAAAAATGCACATAGATGCCGGCTGCCTTGCTGCACTGCATGCAGGCATACACATTAGGAAAGCTGGTGAGAAGTTTTACTGTGTCAGTAGTTAAGCACATGAATATTTCATGGAGAATTGTTAGGTAAATATGCAAAATGTTTTTGTTCGGATTCAAATTTGCCTTTACTCAGGCATTGAATTCTGTGGACGAGGGGTTCAGTGTTTAATGCAGAGTGTATGTAACCATATGAACTGGTGCTTCTCAGAGAGTGGGTGTTTCTTTAAAATATGTCCCTGGTCTAATGTAGCTTAAATGAAGTCAGTGGCACACAGGATGTGCTGCAGGTAGGGGAGCGATAACACGAGTGTGGCTCTGCATAACACATGCATTTTTTATATCATACTCTTCAGCTCTTCAGATTGTCTGCAAGAGGATTTTGGTGCAATCAGTCACAGCTCTTACAGGACCGCAGAAATTTGTTAACACTGAAAATCCCCCTTAAGATAGCATTCTGTACCTCTCCTCCTTCTCCTCCCTCCCTTGCCTGACAGAATGAGAGTGTGTGTCAGGGCAGGGTCCTGCAGAGAGCAGCTTTGGCGTGAGGCTGGCAGGCACAGATGGCCAGCAAGCTGCAGCCCCAGTCCTCCTTGGCTGCTCAACCACACCGGATCCTCTGATGGGTCCTCAGCAGCCAGCAAGAGCATGTTTGCTCCAAATCTTGGCTTCCTTGCTTTTCTCAGGCTGACTAAAGACACACTGCTGTCCCTCTCAAGCAAACCCTCCATTGTGCACTGCAGGCTTGCAGACTTGTGGTCACTATCATGGCTTCTTCCTCATCCTTCTCTCTGAACAGGCCTGACCGCTTGTGCCCTCTCCCCACTTCCAGGTGCTGTCCCTCTACAAAGCATGGCTCCCTAGCTGATGTCCTGGGACTCCAATTGTGACTGCCTGCTCTGAAACTGGGGCAATAGAGGAGTTTCTGGGCAGACTGCCTTCCCTTTGCCCCCAGAGAAAGCTGCTCTGAGGGTGGGCCTGCCCCAGGAGTGGAGTGCAGTGTGGCTCCTATAAAACTCATGACAACTCTGTGCACATACATCTAGACTGTGGCTAACACTGTGGTTGCTTGGACTGCTTCATTGCATTTCTTTCTTTCCTTATGGCTTTTTTTTCCTCCTCTCTCTGCTTTGCACTTCTCTTCCCACCACACTTCCCTTGCCCATGCTAGAAAAAGGAAGAATCCATGACAATGGTACCAGAGTGTCTTGTGAATACAACACAGTGCTAGACGGCTCAGACAGCACAATTATGTTGAAGAGAGTGGAACTGAGCCTTTTTATTCCACAGCTGAGATCCTGACTTCTATTTTCAAAAGATTAATTCTTTTCAGGTTTACAGAAGTCAGCCAATGTCTACTCCTTGCTGTTGCTTTTTCTTGTCAAAGCACTTACATTTCTGCGCTTACAACAATCTTTTTATTGGGAACAGTGAGGAGTTTTATAAGAATAATGCTCTTGTCTCTGATGCTCAATCAATCTAATTTTCAGCCGCTTCAAAGTTTGCCAAGCACCAGAGCTTAAAAATCCACACTTTAGCTTCTCGCAGCATGTGCGAGATGCTGCCTGAATTTCTGGGCAGTCAGAGCTTGTGCTGTCCTCAGGCAATGTCAATTTGTCCATTACTGCGATGAGCCCATATTGCTCTCTGTAGTTTGATTCAGTTCCAGTGGCAAATTACAAGATTTAGGTGCTACTGAGAATATGTAGGTGGGAATTTCCAAAGTTCCTCCAGCACATCCCAGCCCAGCTCCTCCCCTTAGAACTCACAGTGCTTGTGCTCCAGGTCAGTCAGTAACTACAGCTGTACGTAACGCTTTATTATACTTCTGCTATGGTATGTTAGGAGAGCCTGGCAGGCATCCTTATTTCTGAAGTGACTGCAAACTGCCCTTCCAAAAAGCCATGTGAGCAATCTCACCTGCAAACATACAGAGGGATATATGTTTGCTTGATATAGTGAAGTACTTACCTCTGCTGTATTGTTTTTTTTGGTTATGTTTCTGACACTGGCAAGGTAGGCCTTTGTGGTTCCAGAAAAACACATAAAAAGAAGCAATTCCTCAAAGTGTATGCAATGAACATTTAAAAAAAATGGTACTAAAACAGAATGAAGTATACATATTAAAAAGGAGACAAAAAATGAGTTGCCACCTTGGAGCAGAATTCAACAAATGATTGTCTAATATAGAGGCTTCTCTGTATTTTTATGCAATGAGGTATAATCACATTGGTTAACATAACAGCTTTTATTCTGTTTCTTATCACAGCACAGTTTTGAAAACTGTGACGGTATTATGATCCCCATTTATTTCACCACAGTGTTTCCTTTTTACATGTTGGCATTTAGTAACACTGCTCTTTTGTTTCTGTTGGTTTCCTGTCAATGCTACTTTCTGGCTTATACGTTTCCATACAATAATATTTCAGTGTTCAGTTAGAAAATACTGTCAGGACGTACTTATTTGTATTTAAACACATTTCAGTGGGAAGAATTAAAACAGAAAAGCTCTGAAAACATGCCTGTTGATTTGTGATTCTGTAAAACATCTTTTACCTCAGTTGATTTGTCCCTTCAGCATTGCTTTTATGATAACGGGAGAGAGTACGACTCAAAGCGCATTAAGGAATAGAGAAACAGCTGATATATTCTCTTATTACTCAAATAATGTTTCAAGCGTAAAACAAAAGGTGAAGCCTGAGTGAACATCTTGCAAAGCACAAAAAGAGAGAACCTCTCCTTTTATTTAAAATGCTCGTATGTGTTGAGATGCAACGAAAGTCCCAGATAATCTCTGTGAAAATCAGACCATAGCAGTTCAGCCTAGATACCTGGATGGGGATTTGGTACTCAGATAGAATCACAGAATCGCTCAGGTTGGAAAAGACCTTAAAGATCACCGAGTCCAACCACAACCTGACCATACTACCCTAACTAACAACCCTCTGCTAAATCACATCCCTGAGCACCACATCAAAATGGTTTTTAAACACATCCAGGGATGGTGACACAACCACCTCCCTGGGGAGCCTATTCCAGTGCTTAACAAGCCTTTCTGTAAAGAAGTTTTTCTTGATGCAGTCAGACTCCTTTTGAAGCTCATCGCTATAGCAGGGAAGTTCAGCCCATGCACCAGAAGATGCCGTGGAGTAGCAGCCCTACCTCATGACTTCCTGTGCTGCACCTTTTCTCTCCCTTCTTCCTGTGCCTCTTTCCCTTGGGGCTAAGACTTGGTGCACTGAGTGCATTTCATCCCTTGGCCAGCAGCACCATGAGTTATATGTCATCAGCAGTGGGGGGAAAGGGAGTGAAGCCATACAGAAAGGTACAGATACCCCAAGGCATGGCCTGACAGAAGTGGCAGTGATACTAAGCACACGGTGTCTGGACACAGACACACAGTCTGGGCACTGCAGAACCCATACCTGTGTTTTTAGGGCTGTACAGATGAAACACCTGTGGACCCCTACTTTGTGCTAATCACATGCCAGCCCTTGACAGAAGCCAAAGCAAACACACTCCTATCCCACCATCACCTATCTGTGAAGTAGCTTCCCTCTTTACCTTGGCAAAACATGATTTTATCTGCTCCAATGTGGTCAAAAATATTTATGTATAAGCATAATACAAGCTTGAAGGCTCCACCAGCAGTTCAGCTCCCCTCCCCTCCCTGTGCTGGTGTTTCTGAAGTGCTTCCATCTTGGGTGATTTTCTAAGTAATAGGTTTTGAGTGACCATGGTATGCTTCTGCCAAACAATATAAATCAAATTTTGCATATCTAATACCAATCTATACAATCATGCATCGAACTGTTTCCATTCAGCTCTTCCTTTTGTTTCCATATCTCTAGAAATATCCTGAGTCAAGATGCCAGCCTCTCCTGCACCCCATGCTCCAGATGCTGGTCTGCTGAATGATGGCTGTATCTGCCCTGAGGACATTGCAAACCTCACTCCCAGGTATAAGCTGCTGATATAGCACCTCCTCCTTTATGTATTTCTGTCTGTGGAAAGAAAACCAGGGAAGTAGAAGGCCAGATGGAGTGGTGGTGACTTTCCACCAGATCCCTGAACAATAACCCAAGAATCAGATGTTGGGGCTCACTGTGAAGTACTCATACCACAAAGCAGAGGTTCCCTAGGCACTGAAGTGACTTTAGGAACCAACATCAGTAAACAGGTTTTTGCTTGAATAACTGGTGAGCTTCTCACATCATTACTGCACTTCATGCCATGACATGGCCTAAAAGAACTTGGCAGTTCTCACCTCTTAGGGAGGAGATCTGGACGTTCCTCTCCTTGAATCCTCTTCTAACCCTCTTTTTCCTTCCATGAACCTTCCTCCTGGTTTAAACTCTCTGTTGAAAATAGAGAAGTTATTTGTGTGATGTTTTTCTTTGCTACTTCTTCCCATAAAGAACCTAGCCCTGGGGAAGTTCACGTGTGGAAGGAGCTCTGGGCTGCAGCCATGGCCTGGGAGCCCCACTCACACAGTTTGCACAGGTTGGTATATTTTGATTTTTTTGTGTGCACCCAAGATACTCAGATCTGGAAAATAACCACTGAGCATACAAAGTAGGTCACTTCATTAATGCAATGGTGTGCACCTGCTAACTGCAGTAAAAGAGATCTTCATATATTACTACTGAACCTGGCAGCAATTAATAGACCAAATGACTGATCTTCAGAAGCGTGAACAGACAAATGGTTTCTCTGGCTGCCTTTATACTTTCTGATCAGCTTATTGTTGAGGCACATTTTTTGCACATACCCACTTGCATTCAACCTTTCTGCACTTTTGGTGGTTCATTGCAGTATGTTTGGAAGTAGCTAAACCTATGCTGGTATGAAGAGGCTGGACAGCAAGTCCTAGAAATGACGCAGATGTCAGCAGCACCCAGCTGGCTTGACCCAGCTCATCCATACCTTCCAAATATGCCTTCAGAGGTAAATAGAGACACCTGCCTGTCTGGGAGGTGTTAAGTGGTGCTAGAAAGAGGCTTGAAATTGCCCTTACTGAGGGGAGCAGCTTTAGAATGGTGTCCTGGTTGGGCACTTCTGTGTGTCAGGATACCCACTGGATAGAAAGGTTTGACTTCAGAGTGGAATGGCAGTGTGGACAGGACTGCTGCTAAAGGCTGTGCTGAAGGTCCAGGACATGACATGTGCTACCTGCTTACTGAAACAAGAGGTATGTGAGGTGGTGGCCAGCCTACTGAAATGCTGCTTAGAGCTTCTGCGAGCTTGGACCCTGTGATCCACAAAGACCAAATCTGAATTTTGATGATGATTTTATAGCTTGGGGAGATGTAATCTGTAGTCTTTCTATGTGGAGCTGCTTGCAATCCTATTCTGGTAAACTTTGTTTCTAATAACAGAGTAATTCTAAGGCTGTTATAGAAAACATAAGCAGTGAAGATCTTCCAGGTGACACTTATGTAATGATTGCACTTTAAAACTAATGTATGGATTAGAAAGAACATATTAGTTCAAACACTTTGCAGTCATCTGAGTCTCAGTATCATGATATTTTTGAAATAACAAGGGCTGTCTGTGATGTTCTGGCAAACCTTTCCTTCCCTGATCCTTGTTTCATAGCTCAGCTGTATCTTGTCACGATTGTAGCCTATGCTAAGGGGCTAATCAATAGCCAGGGGAAACAGACTGAAAGGTCTCTGGAACAGCCTGTAATGCTACTAATCTTTTAGAATAAGGACCCAATTTTGAAGATGTATACTGCTGGAGTAACTGTTTGCTCCAGTAAGTTACTCTGCATTTCTATCATTTGAATGATTCCCCTTATATTCGCGGGTGCTTCGCCAGGCAACACTACTGTGCTTTATAAATAAGAGCACATAACAGACAGTGATTTTATCCTTATGCTCTCTTATGAGGATTTTATTTTCTATTAAGTTCAAAGCAGTTCTGGATAGGTAAAAAGCTTTGTGCTTCAGATTCATTTTTTCTTTATGCAACTGAAATTTTTCATCTATATCAAGTCATTGTCCCTCTCCAGTTCTTCCCAGCCATCTCCTCTAGCTGCTCCTTTGTACTTCAGTCAATGGGAGCTTCATCAGCTCAAACACGTTAGGAATTAATGAGAGCAAGTATGCTATGAAAATTCCCATTATTTCCTGAGAGAAGCATCCATCAGAAAGAAAGAAAAAAAAAAAAAAAAAAAGGAGAGAGGAAGGAATCAAGTGTACACTGGGTAAAACAGGGAAACAGACAAGTGTGAGGGGAAGATTTGTTAAACTTGCATTCCACTCAGTGGAAAGAGAATGCTGCCAAGACAAGCTGTATCTGAAATCAGCATGCAGTGCTTTGGGATGGTGATTGTCAGTCTGCTATTTCCCATTTTGTTTAATTTTTAATCCAAATTGTGTACTAAAAATAGGGAGCATTTTGCTGCTGAAAAGATGTGAGTAGCAGAAGGGGGGAAAAGCAGAACATGCAGGAAGAATGCTGCTGTAGCTGAAACAGCCCTGTTGGGATTTCTAGCTCTGTCTCAGTCGGTTGTGGTTACAGAATGCAGGCTTACCTTATCTGGGCCATTGCGGCTGGGAGGCACTGTGGTAGTCCCTCTGTAAAATAAATGATAAGTCATAACCATCCCTCTCTGTTCACAGGCTACGTTCCTATTTGGACAAGAGTAACTGGAATATGTTAAGGAATACGGGCAAAAATTCACCCGTCCTGTTCCTACCTAAGTAATGTTTCTATAGCTACTGCCAGTCCTTTTTTGCTTTTCATGTGTCTGAAGGGATTTGTACTTCTCATTATTAATAGCAGGAAGTTTTTACTTCTGGGGAAGTTTTTACAGAAGTGCTGGAGTCTCCTATTTTCAGTTAGCATTGCTTCAGCATGGCTAGTTTGTCCAGGATGGGAAAGCCAAGAGATGTTTATCTGGATAAGATTGTGAAATCTTTGTTTATGCATTAGTCTCCTCTCCAGAGAAGACTGTGGAATATCTTGCCTGAAGCCCCAATTCAGCATCTTTTCTGAAGAAGCCCCTTAAAAGCCAGAGCTATCTCCTCTAGGCTAAGCAAGAAAATGAGCTGGAGGGGGGAAAAGAAAAAGAAAAAAAAAAAACATCTTATATCATCTTTGAATAGATGTGCCTCCAAAGTCCTCCAGTATGAGTGTATGCATGTGGTGCAGGAAGTACTGATTTCAGCAGCCTTCAGAGGTTCTGCTGCCTCCTCTGACTTTCATGCATTATATTGAGACTGTTACCTTTGGCTTTCCATAGAGCAGCAGATTCTGAATGACAACAATGCAAAACAGGAAACTTTCAGAAATTCAGATTTGGTTTGGGTCCAGGATGCACAAAATTTTGTGATCTGCATCATAATCTCAAATTCCTGCCTAATTTTTGTGGACCTTTACTTAAAGATGTGTGGGAACTGTTAAGTCAGAGCCTGAACCACTAATTGAGCACGTGGGGAAAGGACCTGGTCAGGCCTGGGTGCACAGGTGGAAGCAATTCAGCTGTGTGACCAGAGCCTGGCTGTGCCTTGCCTAGACCTCAATTAAGGGTTGACAGCCACTGGGAAAGGAATCTATTCCTGGAGATCCCTCCTTGGTGAGGCTTTTCCCTGTGAACCTCTAATCCTCTGATATGGGTGAGCAATCATCTCACCTTACATTATAGTACCTCTCTGTTGTGCTGGTTCTTCAGTCATTGCACCTTTGTTATAGTGCCTTTCCCATTGTATTGATCTGTCCAATTGTATGAAAGGCTAAAATGCATTTTTCTGTATCACTTTAATTTTTTTATTTTTTTGAAAATTGCTAACCCCCCCCTTTCCAGAGGATGGGAGATGTGAAGCTTACCTAAGTTTCTCCAACTGTGCCCAGCTGGAAGAATCGTAGTACCTTGACAAGCCAGCTTCTTCCTTAGAAAATGCTGGCTCACTTAACTAGATCACAAGGTATTTTAAAATCACATTCTGTATGTTTTGTTTTCTGCCACTTTTAAGTCTAATAATCAATTTTTGTTGAAAGTAACCAGGGAAAACGAAAGGGATTTAAGTGCTTAAGTCACTAGACTGCAGCTTTCTGATTTATGATGACAGTGATAGAAATTGGCTACCAGGAGGCTCCCAGATACACCACCTGATGTCTGCTTTCAGATCCTGTTTAACTTTTTAAAAATTTAGCCCCATAAATGTTGGACCTGAGTGGAGTACTTGAAAGCCCTCTGTTGCACTGTCAGTTGGGGAACTGGCTTTCTTCTCCCAGAGTGCTTAGAAAAGTGGGTTGTAGGTTTTTTTGTTTTGTTTTTTAATATATACATATATTTTTTTTTTCTTCCCTGATGCGCTTTGGAAGTGACAGTAATTTTGGAGTTACAATCAGCTGTAAGCACCCAGGGCTCAATAAGGATGCTCTCTTTCTGAGAGGAAGGGATCCAGCTGAGCGCTGAGCACTGAGCCAGGCAGGGCTCCAAAAGGCAGTGGACTGTGTCCAGCCCTGGTGTGATGGACTGCTGGTGCTTGAGCTACAGCGTGCACTACAAACCTGATGTGATTATGCCCTTATCATGTTCTGAAATTCATATATGCCTTTATAGCTGAATTGGTTCCCAGACATGACAGTATCTCTTGTCTTTTGTCACTGTTGGGTAAAAGACATCAGGGACAATTGGAAGCAAATTACTGGTGTGGCTGAAACTGAGCAGTCAGCCAGAAACTGATCTTAAAGCTGTTCCAACTGTAACCTGCTTCCCAGAAGCTGCTCTGCAGAGGTGTGTGTTTGGACCATACTTTCTCTGTGAAAGAGTATGGCAGGGCTACGTGTGCTGTCTGCTCTCCTTACCATCTCTGCAGCTTGACTTCTCCTGCAGGTGAGTGCTGGAAATCTTAAAAAAAACCTTCCAGGGCTCAGTCCTTGTAAGTGAGAGGAAGTTAAAAGAAGGCTACTCTTGCATCTTTCACTGAAAGAATTCCCCAATCAGGTCTGAAATTCACCACAAGCGGTGGAAAATTAGCCTGCTGTGTAGGATCACCTGGAGCAACTGCTCCTCAGGGAGCCAGAAGTAACTCCTGATATCCTGATGACACATCAGGATGGCAGTCCTTTAACTCTCACAGAGTAGTTTTTATCTTCTAAGCATTGTGGATATTTGCTAATTAATCCTCACAAAGCCTGAGGGAGTTACAGAGGTATTGTTATAAGCTGGGACCAGCAAAGCAATTCAGTTGTCATTGTGCCTCATGCTGTGGCTACCGCTGGCATCGGTTGGGGCAGATTAACATGTTACAACTAAAAAGCACTCTCCTTTTGTCCCCCAGCGATTGACAATTCGGTGAGGCTCTCCACAGAGCAGGAGGACCTGGGATGCAAAACGAAGTGGGACTGTGTCCACCCAGCCTAGGGTAGTGCTGCCAGCTGCAGCCGCTGCCTGCTACCCAGTGGCTTCCGAGCTGCACCTGAGGAGCTGGGGCACTGCTGAGCCTCTGGTGGGGCTGCGCAATGCAATGCCCAGAAACCCAGTGCCAGCTGCTGCTAGAGCCTTTGCCTGCACACCTTAGTAGAAGGCAGAAATAGTGCTGTAGGAGTGGCACATGCTGCAATTGCACTACAGAAACTGCAGCCCTCTCTTGCTGTGTCTTCCAGAGCCCTATTAGCAGGGGTGAAGCGGCTGCCTTGGAGCATCTTGCTGCTCTGATAGAAAGGAAATGTGTTCCTCTTTAGCATAGATAAGGGCCATCTGTGCATGGCTGAAATGAGATAACATTTAGGAACCTCCCAGGATAGTAAAGCTGCACTTTTCTTTGGAGTCTCATGCTGTTCAGGCTCATGGCAGTGCTCCCTTTGAACTCTGTGGTTTGTAGTTCTCACCACTTGCTCAAAATGAAGTGGAATGCAATGGTTCATCTACGTTATGGCTTAGGAAGAGTGTATGTACCAGGACCTGTGCTGATCTGAACCAGTTGATGCTTGGACATCAGAGGCCTCTGCATGGTGCTCCCAAAGGTCTGACATGTATTTTGCTAAATCCTTCTGTCAATAAAGCCTATGCTGCCTGCTTCTAGATGGTAAGTTACATATGGAGAACCGTTTTATCTGTGGACAGGGTACAATACTTTCTGGACCTGTTACCAGGACTGAGACAAAGCACTGGGAGCTTGGGGACCTGCGTGGAAGCTGCTATAGCAGATACGGTTTTTGAAACACAGTTTGATCTGGCTGCAAGGCATCATTTTTCTGCACCATTGAAAGCCAGGCTGTGTGTCCTAAGGACTGTTTGTTTTACCTAATGTATCTCTATCCTATTTATGGTTTTCCTAATATCTTACCTTAATCTCTCAAATTGTCACTGTTGCAATTACATGCTTGTCCATTACTTCTCTGCAATTACTTCCTGTTCAATCTGTCACATACATTGAAATTACTTTATTTCCTTTCTCTTCGCAACAATCTGGATCCACTGACAGGATGCTATTGAGTCCCACTCAGATTTCCTTTCAGTTTAAGCAGCCCTAACTCATTCAGCTGGCTGGCTGATTTTGCTCATTCCTCCCATCTGATGTTCTGCGTCCACCTCTGGATGTACTGGAGATATTGCCTCACTGTGTTGAAGCAGGCAGGATTACCTCATGTGTGTTACCCCGTGAGAGATTTGTTTTCTGGGTGTGTCACTGCTTACTGGGGGCCTTGGGAGAGGCATGGACCCATGTGTCAAGGGGGGGGAAGAGGGATGGGACAGCACTTCGCAGCCTGCAATAGAGATTCAGAAAACGTTTCTCGTCCTAGTTTCAGTTCTTACCTCTTTCATTATATTGAGTGTAGTAGTAAAGGAGATCTCTGTTAAGAGATCTTTTCTATCTTCTCAATTGAGTAATGCCAAAAAGCAGTGGTGTTAGTAATGGTACTACAGCTGTACTACAAAGCTTATTCCAATACTCAGGACTCCACCAACTGAAGCAGATGTATTGTAATGAGTGAATCATGATAAACTGTAGAAAAAGAGGAGTTCAGGATATTTGGCTGAAAGACTGAAGGTCACATACAGGTCAGTAGGAGACTGAATTGTAAGATCTTGACTTTGCTTCCTTCAGAAAGCAAATAATGTAAGTCTGGTTGAAAGACAAGACAGTAGCCTTTTCCAGAAAGACAAAATGAACTGAACAGTGAGATTCAGGTATGCCAAAGGGAATTCTGTTGGTGAGCGGCTTGAATCTGGCCAATCTTTATTTCCAAGTGAAAGCAAAGGTATGTTTTCACAAAGAAAGTGTGGGGAGAGAGGGGGGGGAAAAAAAAAAAAAAAAGAAGGGGAATTGCAGAAAGACAGAGAGAAGTGTCCTGGCCTGGGCTGGAATAGAGTTAATTTTCTTCCCAGTAGCTAATTAACTCTGTCCTTGCTGAAACCAGGACACACAGACTGCTTAATTAAAAGCAAAGTGATGAGTGATGTCCAGGAAACTTAGTATTCTGGGAAAAATAGAGGGGATCTTGGTGAGGGGGTAATCTCAAAGCGTGAAGTCTTTATTCCATTTTCCGAGTGCTTTCCAAAGAGACTCTGATAAACACCTCTTTTTACACCAGTTGCTCTGTTATGTTGCAGGAAATGAATGTGTTTTTAGTAGTGTAAAACAGTGTGGAAGGGAAGGTGATTTTGTTTTAAATGTTTGGCGAGTCCCTGCTGCTCAAGGTCTTAAATTGCTCATTTATGTGTGCACAAAGATTTCCTGTGTGCGCCCATACCTGCTAGGGACAGGAGACACTGACTATGGAGCCCTTAATATGTTTCTTGTTAGGCAGTGACAAACTCCCTTTGGTAAGTGCTTGTGTAATCTCTAGGGATATTGACATGGTGTAATGCTCCAGCCTCAAATCTCGCTCAGTCCTTGCTACAAAGATGTAAAGCAAGGTTGCTCCCCTTTGTCTTTGTTTTCCCATTTTGAAATGGTTATCCACTTTCCTTCCGTAGGACGAGAGGAGAATGATGGCAAAAGAGTTTGGTATGTCTTTGCTCCCACCTTCCTCTTAGGAAAGAATGGGACATCTGTGGGAGAGTTATCTCTGGTGGGGGACTTGATGGAGGGTACCAACCCATCTTTGTGTGAAGGCACTCTGCACTCCTCAGCACTTACCTCTGATATGCATCCTTGGTAATCAACAGGGGATATTCTTTTAAATCTTGCTCTTGTTTCTTTTGGTGCTGTGGCGCAGGTGTTTCTATTTATGTCAGACAGATTAATCTTAATGTCACAAATGCCTGCATAGTTGATGCCCTCAGCCAGAACCTTGCAGTTTGAGAGATGTGTCCCCAAACCCAGCTGAGGATGGAGGGAGGAGCCTGGTACACCCCAAATACACCTCTCCTTCCATTTAGGAAGACATTATTGCTGGCAGAGTATACTGTCCATTCTTTAATCAGACAAGACTGGATAGGAGAAGTATATGGGTGGTTTATATAGGCAAGACAAGGGACAAAAAATGTTGGTCGGTAACAGTGAAAATTCTAAAGAAAAAAGCTGTAGAGAGAAAAATGCTGGTCTGCTTTATCTGTTCAGATCTCAAGCTGTTTCACCACTTCCTAGCCCTGGAAACTGGCTTCCTCCTCAATGCTTCCTCCTCCACCAGGTGTGCACTGGGGCTGCCTAGAGTTGCTCCCCTGGGCAGGGAGGTGAACCCCTTTTCCTGATAGCCAGGAATCTTATGTTAAGGATGTGGTGGTAAAAATGTCATAAATTGCAATAATTGAGGGGAACAAAGACACTTTACTATCACTTCATTAGAGTTGCACTATCCTTTCTATGCTGAGCTTTTTTTAAAGACCAGAAATGATGTGACCATTAGATAAAGCATCCATCTCTGTGTATCTATACAGTTAATTTAAGGGTGACACTCTTAGCCAGGTCCCATCAGGAGGAAAAGGATAATACACTATTAAAGTTGCAATTACTGTATTAGGCTCAAAATGTAAATCCATATACCAGCTGTTATAATCTAGCAAAGAAGGAGGGGGAAGTCTGGCAAATAGTTCTTGTGGGCTTTTATATAGCTGCTCATAACAGTGGAAATTAAATGAATACATGTGTATGTGTGTACAGCTAGATTTATAGACTCTCTTTAAAATGTAAGCACTTCAGGTCCTGCTGAAGTAGCAGAAAACAAGCTGGGATTGTTCCACCTGCATAACTGGCCTTCAGCTTCCCCGTGTTCAGATATGCTTTGCAATGCCAGAGGGACTCACCTGTATGCCTCAAGCTCAGCTGTCTCTTGGGACAGGTGTGGGAATTCAGAGGGTTGACCTTTGGAGCACTGCAAAGCAGAAAGGAAGCTAATGCTGGAAAGAGTATTTCCTTTGGCAAGTGCTACCCCCTTCCCTGTGCCAGGACCCCTCTGTAAACCAGAGTCTTCAGGGCATCAGTACTGGCTGCAGCACAAAGCCATGCTTAGTAGCTGCAATTTTTTTTCATGTATTTTCTCTCCTTCAGATATTCTTGGCTAGATCTCTAGCAACCTACTGTAGCTCTGCTACAGCTTTGCTCTGCTTGCTTCAGCAGAGCTTTGTCAATTTGGAGTAGCTGAGGGCGTAACACTTAATCCAGAGAGATGAAATGCCTTGTTCAGATACCAGTACCTTATTGTATCTGGGAACAGCACACACGTGGAATGTTCACAGTAAGAGCTTCTCTTCATGTGCTGCTTGCTACCAGAACAGTCTGGAGATCTGCAGGAGGTGCCCTTCAGTAGCTGAAATGGTACAACTGCTTTTTCAGTGATGAGAAATAACATTTCTGAGCTCACTGAGTACACATCTTCGTATTCTAGAAGGAACCACTCTGCCTTTGGGTACCCTGTGATTTAATTTCCTTTAGTTTTCAACTTTCCTTCTTACTGCAACTGTTCTGTTACCAGCCTTTGCTGTTTCATATAAATACAGCTTATTTCAGTTTTTCAAAGTCATCCTGCCTGATATTCCTACTCCTTGCTGCACTGGTGATACTTCCTAAATTTGTGACATCAAAAAACTTACGTTAAAATATAAATTTATATTAAGAAATATCAATTTGACATTCTTTTTGCATATACTTCTAATGAAATTGTCGTACAAGAGCAGTCCTTGAACAGTACTTTTTGTCCCTCCTTGTGTGGAAACCTCTGTTGGTGTGGTCCTTTCTTTTCCATCAAATCCTGCTGTTCTGTTGCTCTGGCCTGATCACTGCCTACTGCACAGTTGTGCTGTGAATTGCATAGGCTTATTTAAATAGTAAATTACCCGATTACGCTATTGTAAATACTTTGTTAAAGTCCAAATAACTATTATTTTCGTTGTTGTTGTTTTCCCTCTGGGGATAAATTGCAGATAACTTCTGGTAAGCTCAGACATTTTTTTTCCCTCTCATATATTTTAAAATTATCCTGGCAAAAGGATGTACAGCTGCCTGGACAACTCTTCATTTTCCTAGTGTAGTTGTTACCTGTGTTGTTCTCCAGGGAGCCTGTGCCCTTTTATGGTGGTATTCAGTGTCCTGGTTGCTCAGAACTGGGAGGGAGTTCATCCCTTGCCGGTTCATCCATCCCCATCTAAGCACCTAGCACTTTCAATTTCTCTTCCGTTATCCATCCTTTAAATATAAGTCTATCCTTCATTAAGTTCAGTATCACTCATTACAGAAAACAGAAGTACCCATTTATATTTGATTCTCTCTGATCTTTACATCAGTCCCATCAGTTCCATGTTTGCCCCTCAAACTTCTTTTATTTATATAAATTAGGAGCCATTTGTTATTTTAATTTCCTTTGCAATGCTTCACTTTCAGCATTTTCCACTGTATTTCTGCACTCTGAGCCAGTTTTCCTATCTGATGCTTCTCCCTTTCCATGGCATGTAAGTGCACAGATTGCTTGGACTTTAAGTGACTAATTTGGCTTTATTTTGAGAGATGTGGTTTTGTGGCAAGAAACATGTCCCACATGCATTGAGCCCCATCCGTTGGTGGTAGTGGCACTGTGAGTGGGGTTATTTCCACTACTTGGAGTGGGACAGAGGAAACCAGAGCTTGGCAGTGCCTTAGATTTTTGCCGGGAATAAATAGGTCAATATATTTCAGGACTGCACTGGCAACCTGGTATGTCTGATCTGTCTGTGAGTAATAGCCATTTTGAAGTGATTATTCATCCTGTTAGATCTGAAGTATTTCTCTAGAAGTGTTGTTTTTTTTTTTTTGCCCTCCTAACTTAGGTGAAGGTTTCTTTGATCTGAATGTCAAGTCCTTTTTAAATTGAAGTCCTTGAGTTATTTGGTCAACTTATTTTCACTAGTTGTTTCCTGGTAGTTCAATAAATAGTAGCAGATCTATTTTTGTTGAGTCTTTGATTTAATTTTAGGTCAGCCAGCCCATGCTTGCTCGCTGCAGAATTCTTGTCTATGATTAGCTCTTGCATGATGTATTCTCTGCTCACCAAAACCAGGTCTTAAATGCAGCTCTCTGTAATCATAGAATCGCAAGGTTGGAAACGATCTTCTAGTCCAACCATTGAATTGACTCCTTGGTGAAGAGATCTGATGCTCTCATTGAGCACCTGAACCATAATACCGCTGGCTGCACTTATTCTACAGTGTAGGCATTGGATATGGTATTGCTGTAAATGCATTATGGAACTAATGCCTTTCTTGATGCTGTTCTCCAGTTGCTCAAAGGTTCAATAGAACCAACTATTCCTTCCTTGGAATTATTCTGGCTTGAACAGATTTGCCTTCAGCCTGTACTGCCTTGTCTTTGCTTTATAACCTATCACAGTGTGGTGTTATAACATCCATCTGCCAAGATAATCTTTATTTCCATCTTTCCTGAACAGCATGTACCTCTCAAGGATTTGCAGAGCACAGGTAAATAGAGTAGCTTTTAGGACAGTGCTTTTGTTATGCCTTTCAAGTTCTTTATTCTGCCCTAGTGGAGACTTAGTAGCCATTTCTCCAGCTTTTCTTAACCTTATTTCCTGCCTCAGGCTGGCAGGGAATAGAGGTGTGTACTTTCACACTAATTACATGGGGTTTCTCATGCTGAATTTTACCATAGGATTCCAGCCATAATAATTCTTTTAAAAAAAATTTAAAGGCTTGCTTTTCAAATGTACCAAAAAAAGAAAAAAAAGAAAAACAGTGAAACCTTCCCCTGGAAACCTGTTTGTCTTGTCTGAGGAACAGGAATTTCAGGGTCTTTGTTAGGAATATCTGAGTTCTACAAATGCCATGCTAATGTTGCCTCTGCTCTGGATGAAGCTGGTGCTCTTAGCATGTTCACCACATCTTCCCTGTCTGAGACGTGGCAGAGACAGCAACCTCCTTGGGTTTTCCCCATCCTTTATTGTGTATTCCACTATCCATCTGCTATGAATCACTCATAAACCTAGCCTAATCATGACAAATATGTGAAGAACTAATTTGTTGTTCACAAAATGAGATGAATTATGTTGAATAATGAAGGCACTGATGCCACTAACTTGATTTGATTTGTATATGTTTAGACACATTTAAAGTCAATGGAGAAGTATTTGCAACTTGCAAAGCTCAAATGTTTCCTGGTTATTATCTTCCCTTTTGTAATAATCAAATTCATTTGCAACTAACCACAACAAAGCAACCCAATAACAAAAGATTTATGCCATGTTCACAGTTGAAATGGTCATTTGATTTCCAATGGGAGTCTGTTGGCGGGTAGATCCTCAGCAGTGCTCATTTTCAGGTCTACGTATTTATGCGATCTGTATGATTTACCATGTCACAGAGAAGAGTCTATTACAGCTTCTGCAAGTAAACTAGATGCTATGTTAGATAGCCAAGTTTCCTAGATCTATTAGCCATATAAACACAAGATGTTTTCCTTGCGTTAGGAAATCAAGGTGAGCCTGCTAAAAACAATAACAATATATCAATATCTTCAGTTTTCTATTAAGCTCCATTTGCTTGCAGCTCTTCCAGCTGAGGGCAAAGTAGGTTGACCAGCTCAAGGAAGTAGCATTTCTAACATCCCAATTCAAAAGGGTACAGGGCTGCCATATTGTGGAAAAGAAGCTTTCGTATTATAAAGTAATGTTTTCTTGAATCAAGAACTTGATGTCAATCATGCTTTTCAGTTGCAGAAGCCTGTTGTTTATTGCATCGGCACATCTTGTGCAAGTTCATTCCTGATTTATGATGATTCACATTGATAGACTTCTAGTCTATGACACTGCCATCACAAATGATAATTTATAACAGCTTTAGCTCTGCTCTTTCAGTGCTGTCTTTCAAGGACTGGAGCCAAGAGCTATTCACCAGAAGTAAATCTGGGAGGAAGTTCACTTACTATGAATATTAATTAATGTTTATATACTACAGTTTATTTTGTTATGCAGTGATTTAATTCAGACCATCAGAATAGTGCTGTATGGTAGAAGAGAATCAGTAGCCATGTGCTCAATTCATTTCAGAGATAAAACCTGCTTCCATTCATTTTCTTTTATGGCATAACCTGAAAACAAGCTTTCGTCAATGTGGCAGAAAGGAGTGTGTGTAAGGCGGTGACAAGTGGTGCTTCTCTGTTCTCTGTAATTATGCAATAAAGAGGAGATGTTCAGATTCACCTCCAAGCCCTTCCCCGGTGTTGCTCTTCCCATGTGAGAGTTAACCTCTTCACTTTGCTGTTTTCTTCTTATTCAAACTAATCATCTCCTTGTAGAGATGCTAGTGGAAGTGATTGAGACAAAGGGGTGTAGCATCATCTTGATGCTGAAGAGCTTTCAGAGGAGGTAAGTGCGTGACTTCCCAGCAGAGCAAGAGAAGAAAACACAGCTGAAAAATCTTTCTTCATTTCTAAGAAAAACAGGAATGGCCAGGTCACTGCTGGTTACTAACATGCTTGTATTTTTTGTGTAGCATTGTTTTATATCTTGTAATCAAAAGGCAGTACTTTATTGGGCTATACTCTCAAAAGGTCTCATCTCAAAATACTCTCATATAAAAATGTGATAAGAATAAAAACCCCAATGGAGACTATTAGCCCCAGCATTTTTTTTTTTTCCCTGACATTGGCTCTTCCCTGCCTTAAAGTATGAACCCCCAAAGCCCTGAGCTCAACACTAAGGAGACTGGATGTGGGAGCCAGGCAGCAGAGCCTGTTGGGTCCAAGCCCTCTTTGTAAGAGGGAGAGGTGGCTGTGGCTCCAGTCTCTGGGCTGCCTACAGAGCACAGCCATGGCTCCTCAGAAAGATGCTGCTGATGCCATCTTTGCCCAGTGGCCACACCAGCCTAAGGAGAACCTTCCATCCATCTTGCACGCATGGTATAGCAAATAAGCCATAAATAGTTTGTGCCTACTTCAGTAAGTAGCTCAACAGTGTAGCATATCATTGTAATGGTGAAAAAAAAAAACACCTTATTTCTTTAAATTAGATGTTAGGACTTATAGCTGGACCTTTAAGGTTAAGGAAATTTGATTCATTCAGGTGGCACAGAACAGCCTTCAGTGCATTGCACAGCCTAAGGAGAGAGAAGAGTGTTGCCCACTGTATTTACTATCATGTTTGTTTTGGGAGCTAAATTATTCTTACTAATTCTGCTAGCAGTGTAATATGCTGTCTCAGTAATGGAAAGCATATGAAAGCAAGCAGATGGCGAGAGCAGAAAAAACCCAAGCATGTCCTGATAATGTAGTAAGCAAGTTCATTTTTTTGGCATTAGGCTTTCATAACCGAGGCATGGTGATAACAAGTACAGACACATTTTTAAAGCGCAGTTCATCAAAAAATATAGCCAGTTTCATTGCAGAGCAATGGAAGATTACTTTGAGACTTTTATATAGATAAAAGCTAGATGTGAATGTTGTTGAATTAGACCCATCATTTATTATTGCTGGCAGATGATTGACAGCAGATACTGGTCTCAGTGATGCCATCACAGTCTTGTGATCACTCATATCTTCACAAATGTGGAGTTTCTCACCCATTCATTTGCAAATATGTAGCCACCCTGTACTCCACAAAAACCACAGACGCTTAGATACAGGGTGTTATTGGAGTGGGCAGTATTGGAAATCTAAGTATTTTATTTTGCTTCAAAAGTATTCAGTCTCTGGTTGGAAGCTGTGAAGTTCAAGGTTGCTGCTGCTTAAATATCTGCATATCTGCAGCATGTGTGGATCACACCTGGCTCTGGCCCCATTCCCTGTGAGGAGGGCAGTGCGTGGGGAGTGCTCTGTGCTCAGCATGTCTGAAGAAGAGTGGCCTTGCCTCACTGCTGAAGCAAACAGTGCTAGCATGAAGTTTTGGGAGGGAGGGGGGAGGGTTCAACCAGCCTGATTACCTCCAAACCACTTTTTTTTTTTTTTTTTTTTAAAGTCTCTCAGGTCAAAATATGGGCAGAAGCAAGACCAGATTCACTGCTTACACAATCTATCATTTTAAGGTTCTTCAGAGAAGGGATACATTACTTTTTGTTATGATTTCATTTTGAAGCAATGCAGCTGCATCTTTGTGTGGCTCCAGCCATGCACTGTGAGATGTGGCAGCAAGCAAGGCTCTGTCTTCAGCTTCCAGGAGTTTGGTTCAGAGGGAGTAAAGGAGGAGGAGCTGTCAATGCTGCTGTGTGGGGAGCAAGTGCCAGTTCAGGGAGTGAACGGAACCGAGCAGTGATCTCTTCTGCAGGGAATGTGGTGAGGAGAGACAGCCTCCTTTCTCATGAAACTGTGTAATTGGTTATAATGCTTGTTTTTCATCATTCAATAATGCAGCATGTTAAGTAATGCAGGCTTTTTAAAATATTTCATATACATCTGGTTCGCTTCTGATTTGAAGAAACAAAAGCAAGAAAGACTTTCTGATTGCTTGCTCCATCTGAGAGCCTTACTCTTGCTGCTTCCTGAAAAAAGTTGTCTCCCTTTATCTTTATTTAGTAATGGATGCTGATTTAACCTCCCAGGAGATTGTGTTTTTTATTCTGTGTTGCCTTTAGTGTCTCCAGGAAGTGGCAGGTGGTACTGCTGAGGAGATGCCTTTGATGGCATTAATGGTTCTACGTTAGGGTGGAGGCTGGTCACAAGCTGTGTCCCTCAGGGGTCGATCTTGGGACTGGTGCTATTTAACATCGTTATCAGTGACACAGACAATGGCATTGAGTGCACCCTCAGTGAGTTTGCAGATGACACCAAGCAATTGATACATTAGAGGGAAGGGAAGCCATCCAGAGGGACCTGGGCAAGCTGGTTAAGTGGCCCACGAAAACCTAATGAGGTTCAATAAAGCCAAGTGCAGAGTGCTGCACTTGGGTTGGGGCAATCCAGGTATTTATACAAACTGGGGGAAGATCTCCTTGAGAGCAGCCCTGTGGAAAAGGGCTTGGGGATCCTGGTGGATGAGAAGCTGGACGTAAGCCAGCAGTGCACATTTGCAGCCTGGAAGGCCAACTGCGTTCTGGGCTGCATTAAAAAAGGGGTAGCTAGCAGGGGGAGGGAGGTGATTGTCCCCCTCTACTTGGCTCTTGTGAGCCCCCTCTGAAGTACTGCATCCTGGCCTGGGGTCTCCAGTAAAGGAAGGACGTGTAGCTCTTAGGGTCCAGAGGAGGGCCACTAAGATGATCAGAGGGCTGGAGCACCTCTCCTATGAGGAAAGGTTGAGGGAACTGGGATACTTTAGCTTGGAGAAGAGAAGGCTCTGGGGAGACCTCATTGTGGCTATCCAATACCTGAAGGGAGCGTATAAACAGGAGGGGGAGTGGCTGTTTATGAGGGTGGATAGTAATAGGACAAGGGGGAATGATCTTAAACTGAAATAGGGGAGGTTTAGGTTAGATATTAGGAGGAAGTTTTACACTCAGAGGGTGAAAACTGAAACAGATTGCCCAAGGAGGTTGTGTATGCTCCATCCCTGGAGACATTCAAGGCCAGGCTGGATGTGGCTCTGGGCAACCTGGTCTGGTGGTTGGCAACCCTGCACATAGCAGGGGGTTGAAACTAGGTGATCACTGTGGTACTTTCCAACCCGGGGCATTCTATGATTCCATGATGGCCCCATGTCCTCTCTGTTTTGTTACCCAGGCAGGAGGTGGGATTGCTGTTGCACCTTGTTCCCAGCTGTTTTCTGCTCGCAAGGGTGTGCCCCCATCTTATTGCTGTGGCTGCTTCTTGTGGGGCCTGGGGACAGATGCAGAAGCCAGGTGACACAGGGATGCTTTGCTGCCAGTGCAGGGCCTGAGGCTGTATCCTGGTGGAGTCTGGGCAGGAACTGATCTGCTCAGCCAGGATGGGATAGGAAGGGTCTGCTCTAATGCTGAAGGCCCAGCTCAAACCTCTGGGGGTGGGAGAGCCTGTGCTGAAAGCCAGAGGTCGGGGCACATTGCTTCTTTCTGCTGCAGTGTCTCTGCTATCTGCAAATCCCTCCAGAAGTGGCACCCACTTGTTCCCACTTTGTTTAGGCTAAAGCCAATGGGTCTGTCTTCAAAGCAAAGTGCTTCTCTCCCTGTGGAAAAACTTTGCTCCTGATTCTTGCTCAATCACCACATCAAGAGCTTTCAGTGCACTGTCTGTAAGCAACTGCTATTTTTGGTGTTTGTCCTGTAGTGAGCCATAGTGTTTTGTGTCACCATACCTCTAGACAAGGCTGTGAAAGCGGTAGAGGACTTTTCCAACAATTGGTGC